TCCGAAATGAAGGGAAATGAAACTGAAAAAAAAAACAATACTAGAAAACTGAAAAGATATCTAATTAATAAGCGATAATACTGTATTAATTGGCAAGTAAAATGTAAAGTTTTCCATTCCTGTATAACCAATGAGCACTTTTTGTAAATAATTATCTTCTGTCGTTTAAAGAATTTATGATGATATCCATATATATTTTTATACAAAGGATTTTGAGAAGTGAAACTGTGTTGCATCAATGAATACTTTCTAAAAGATAAGAGAAGTGAAAATGAGAAATGAAAAAGCTGTATTTTCATACATCTAATAAGAAAGTCAAAAATGATCACATAGCACTGAGATACTGTCTATAATGTATGTGGTAGCACTGGAAGTGAAAAAAGAATTTAAAAAAAACAATACTGGAAAACTGAGAAGATATCAAATTAACAAGCGATAAGTACCGTAATGTATGTAAAATGTAGTTTTCTAGGCCTGCATATTAATTAGATCGTTACTGTGGTATCGTACTCTCGATTATGTACCGACAGGCAGTCTAGACGATTAGAGATTTGAAGAGTAGAAGGCCTGGGATGCAAATTCCTTTCTTGAATATGCAATAGGCCTAGTTAAACTGTATTTTGGTCTTTTACATAGGCCTACATTATTACACATTTGTTGGAAATGTAGGCCAATGTTTTTTTTTACGTGAGTAAAAAGTATAGCCACATTTTTCAGTCTGCCAGCTTTTCAGAAATATCTTTGATTTTTTTAAGACAATGGCTCTTTATTTAAGTGCACAAATTGACAAATAAAAAAGGAAAAAATATTAAGAAAAAAATGATATGATAGGCCTATAAGAGATAATGCAAATGAATAGAAAATGACGGAACGAAATTAGAAACAGTTCTGAATGTTTAACATTCTTAAAAGGTCGTGTATCTTTTATTATAGGCAATTGCATTCAGTGCTGTAATTTCCTATATAAAATTATAATATTTATTATTTTAGTTGAAAACCTTAACAATTATATACGTTATCCGCCTACAATTTGATTATATTATTGCGTACAGCGATATATTGACCAAAAAAAATTGTTGTGTCATTGAAAATTGATATGAGTTATTTAATTACATCTGAACGTCGGTACGAAACGTTTGTCTACCGAAAAACCACACTAAATACTACACGAACAGTAAAAATACGAACCTGATGGGTAATCTGTCCCTGGAGGAGACGGGTAATCTGTCGGGTAGTGAGTAGCACAAATCGATTCATCTTCACCAAAGAAACATTCTTCATTATTATTACAAACGGAATCGTCTTCTAAACACAGACCATCGCGACACACAAAACCACAAGGATCTAATAAATCAAAATATAAAACACATTAGACAAAATATTTGTAATATCCTATAGTATGATAAACCTGTGGCTCCAGTATGGTGCATGGCTAACACAATATAGATTATGGAAAAAGGCTAAAAAAGAGATAACCTTGAAAAGCACTCAATAAATATAGCAGAAAATGAAATGTAATCAGTAGCAGCAGATTCAGGAATTTGAAATTGAGGGTGTATACCACCTCAGGCCCACCATGTTCAGGGCTGAGGTAAGAACATTTATGATGATGACACCTCTAGATGGCTGGAAATGGCACTCAGTAAAGGAGAATAAATTGAGTTTTAGTGACACTAAAGGGCATCGCCCTTCATCAGGTGGTCACCACCTGATGAAGGGCGATGCCCGAAACGAAAGAAGATGAGTTTGTACGCCTCGTAAGTGGGGGGAAAAAGCACTCAACTTCTGCAAAAAGCGTTTTTTTTTTTTTATATACACTTAAAACTTAAAAAGTCCTTGCTTGATCAAGCAGTTTTGGTGGATGGATTTCCGAAATATGCGAGAATGTGTCTTGAATTTTGTACCCCTGAAAATGTGGATATTTGAAAATTTGGGTTGGGGGAGGTGCGTACGCAACCGTCGCACCACCCCCCCCCCCCTTCCGCGTACCTGGGCCTGCAGAGGTTTGAGAGTTTATTTTTCAGCCTATTATAATAGTAACTTAAGCCGAGAACTTGAAGAGTTTCTACAATTTCATTGATGCAACTTAAATTTGAAACAGTGCGTATCAGCGGTGGGCGAGGGACGCACGTTCCACAAATAAAACTCACTCCCCACCCCAACCCTCCGCTTTCCCTCCTCCACTGGAAATTTTCGAAGCAAAAAAACTTAGTATCGAGTCACCTCAAATTCCTTTATTTTAGCAGCTAGAAGCCCTTTACGTTATTATTGACTTTACGAATTCACCTTACTCCCCATGCCACCATTCCCCTCCCATTACAGTACTAGATGTCAAGCATGATTTTGATACGATGATAAGAGTACTATTTAGTCATACAGAGTGGTTATTCATTTGTACGCCTGCCTAAAATCATGTTAAATTTCATGTGCAAATGACAGCCCTATGTGATATTTAGAATTTGAATGGTTACGGTATTCTAATTTTGTTTTTACATAATATCCTATAGCAACAATTTTCAAAAAAATTATATTTTATAGAGCCGGTGATCATGTTTGAAATGTATACGCACGATTCTTTCAAAACAGCGGTATGCTGAAATTTTAACCAACACAATACATAATTCTGTTTTCTAATAGATGCGTGTGTTTATTTTGATAGTTTTGCTACCGTTTCGGCTTGCTTAAAGCACTTTAGGTCGGTTTCTTCAGCAGTTTGCATAATTTATAGGTCATATGCCTACTGTGATTAATTTGAATTTGGTGAGGTATTCTAAGTTTGGATCAATTATGCATGGATTGATGTAAAAAGGAAAATCAATTGCAACACTACAATTGACTATACAACAATATGTATACACGTACACGCAAAGTACACAAACTTGGCGTCATGTTCTAAAAATAAGCTATTATGTAGTTTAGAATGTGTATATCTTTGTATTTATAGCTATTGAATAGGTTACAGTATTCAGTTACTGTTTAACGCGAAGTAGCTGAATACCAAATTATTTGCAGACGATAGTGTAAGCCATATAAATATTTGTTAAGCTTGACATTCGATACCGTACCTACAGTATTCCTTGAAGCTAAGGGGCTATACTTTCATTCCATGTCTCGCCCATAATTTTTATTCGTCATTTTCGCGGCGCTATTTTATTTAAAATATGAAGCGCGCAGAGGCTTTGCATTGTGCGTTATAAAGCTTTGTATTGCTACACAGTATATATACTACTACACAGTATGAACTGAGCAACAAAGTGAGTTTTAGTAGGCCCCTACTCCATATACGCATCAACACAATTCAGATAATAGGCATATTTTAAAGCCAGTTGTTTGCAATATATAATTTATTTTATCTGAAGAAAACTACAGTTTAACATCCGGAATTTAGATTAGGCTTTAACGTTATTCAACGAACGACGGCGATATACTGAAGACTGTTTAAAACGATCTTTGACATTAAAACACCGTATCCCAATTGCAACAAGAGAAAAGAATGAAAAATAACCATAACAATACAAGACTTCATCTGAACATGGAGGAAACTTTCTTTCCTCAATGCTCTGAAATAGGCCTACTAATGCTGGTGTCAAAACGTGGCATTCTCAGACACCATATTACATTTATTATTTATACAGTACTGTATACGGAAATAATTATTCATTCGTATACCCATTTGTGCCACGCCTGTTCAAGGTTATACATTCTTTGATCAATTTTACGGTGAACTGATCCAGAAGAATCTGCGGCATGCTATTTGCACCATTTTATAATCTATATTATGCCTATTATAGTAATAGCATGCTAATGGGTAATGACTGTTCCCTGGTCTTGATAGATATTATTCATTAATATGCCTTTGCTAATAAAACGTCCAATTATAAAATAGATAACTTAAGTTCCGAGTGAACGTTATGTCCGGTACATAGGCCTATACATTACAAAAACAAAACAAAAACAAAAACAAAAAAAAAACATAATAAATAATCAGACTTACTCATCATGCCAAGTGTTAAAATTAAATAAAAGTAAAATAAAAATAATCATAATAATAAAATAGGCATTTCTAGCATGCCAATTCTATAAAGTATAAACATGTTTACAAGTACTACCTACCTCCACATTCATGTTCGTCACTGCAGTCCGTGCAATCACGAACTCCATCACAACCCCATGATTCTGGGATGCATCGTCCATTGTTACATCTGAATTCATATTGACCGCATTCTGTTTTGTATTTAAAAAAAAACCGATTTGTGTTAAATACCTTATTTAAAAAAATATAACACATATAAATTTAAATTTGCCGAACGGACAGTAAAGGCCTACTAGTCAATAATATACAGTAACAATACAAATTCAACTTTTTCACTATACGCCTATTGCCGGTGGTATTAATTGCCTTACTTCTTCTTAGGCTTATGTATTGCTTAATCTGACAAGATTACGATGGATTATCGACACTAATGAACTTTTGCACCCCTTCTAAACACGTCTGAAATAGTCACTGAATGAACTATAACAGGAGATAGTGGCAAGTGTATGTATATACACATCTAGATGTGTATAAGAGACAGGTATACTATTAAAACTTAAATGACCAGGCCTGCATAAAATTATAGCACAATGTAAATGAAACATTGTTATATTTAAACGTGAAAGAAATAATGTAGGCCTAGTGCGCAATAAAAACAAGCCCATATAATCATTGGGCATTGAAAATACTAAATTTACCATAAATGATGATAAAAAAAAATTACCTGTCTCTTATACACATCTAGATGTGTATAAGAGATCTGTGTGTACAAATCATAAGGGATATTGTAACTAGAACCCCCTCCTTTGGGACACCCCTATTTCAGGGGACACTTCTATTAGGAGGATACTTTTCCGTGAAACGAGGGGCAATATACATTTTAACACAACGGCCAACCTCTATTAAGGGGACGGGGACACTTTCTGATTGTGCCAAATGGTCAAATAACGCCTATTAAGGGGACACTTTTTACCATTGTATTACAACAATTACAACAGTTTCAAAGTAAGAAAAATTCATATTTTAACACCTTTGAAACCAGAATTTTCTCCGTTGAATCCTTATAGTAAACAGTATATAGGCCTACTGAATGTTTTACTTCATATAGGCCTAAATTTTGATCCTTAAGCACGGGGATTTCGTTTTCTTTGTTTTTCGTGTACTTTCAGACTAATACATACCGTAACATTAACCATTAATTCTAAGTCGTTACTTTTTCATGCAATAGGCCTATTCATCCAATAGTAAGCTCAATATTTTAAATTTAAAAAAAAAGGAATATTTGTTCATTAGCATTGCATCATGAAATAATATTGGGAACATTTTATTATTAATATTTTATTATTTATATCATTTATACAGTGCCTTTTCTTTGTAAATACAAAGCGCTTCTTTATCCTTTGTCATTGGGTCCTCATGTTTTAAGTGTTGCTGCTGGTAAACATCACAGGAGTAGGCAGCCTCACCAGGTAGCCATGTGGAGAGAACCCATGCAGTGATGGTTTGATGAAATTGGGAGGGCATACCATGTACCATACAGGTCTGTTATAGTCTACCTACTGCACCAAACCGCTACTACAATATTTTAAACTATTGTTGTTTTAATTGCATTTGTGCTGATTTCATACTATAAATGAATTGTATTTGCAAATTGTTGCTATAAATTAGTTCTAATTTTACATGGCTGATTCTTATGTCAATAAAAATAAAATTATACAGAACGCATTGTCATCGTTGTATGAAACATGTCAAAAAGAATTTCGCGTTTTTGGTTAGTGTCCCCAAAATAGAGGTGCCCCTATTAAGGGGACACTTTTTTGGTCCCGAAGGTGTCCCCTTAATAGGGGTTCTACTGTATATCCTATATAATGACAAATTATAACTAAATACACAATCTCAAAAATGTTTACTTTACATCTGATGTAGAAATACCGTAGGCCTATTTCTTAATTTGGAAACCCCCAAAATGCAAATCGTACTCTCCAGTTCAAAAAAGGTGTAATTTATAATACTTTCATAAAGTCAAACGTGACGTCATCACTCTAACGCCCCAATATTATTTTCCCATCCCAAACCGTGCTTTAATTTCTTATTAGTGTTATTAGTGTATGGTTTGCTTAACCTTATTTTCGGTTCGTGTGCAAAAGGTCAAAACAACTTGTACAACAATTGTACACACAACGCGTGTATGGTCTGCGGAAAGAGAGGACAGACACTCACCCATCGTCGTTTGTTGACAAATGGTAATTGAAAATATATATGACATCTAAATTAGAACCCGAAGAAAGTCAATTCAAATCCAATAT